AATTCTTCTGAATAGAAATGCTATTCTGTAAGAAAACACTAACCATGTGATAATCTCTAATACTTTATAGTCACTAATTGAGAAGAAAATTTAGTGCAAAATAGAGATTATAGAGAATCATTTTTGATCCAGTTAATGGCTAATTAGTCATAGGAGATTTACTTAACATTCTTTTAAAGGTAGATCAGCAGGACTTGTTTTCTGAGCATTGATCACAACCCTGCTGATCAAAACAGGATCTGGTCAAACAAGATGTAGCAAAGAAACTGGCCCAAACCAGTTAGAACTAGAAACTATAATGTATTTGCATGCTGTAAGACACTCCCACTAGCACCATGACAGTTTACAAATGCCGTGACAATGCCCGAAAGTTACATGGTTCTAGGAACTCCGTACCCTTTTCTAGAAGATTCACAAATGATATTCCCCTTATTTAGCATGTAACTAAGGAGTAGCTGTAAATATCGCTTGTGAGCAATCTACAGTGCCACTCTGCCTTTGGGGTAACCCTACTTTGTCTGTGGAGCCGCCATTTTCTATACTCTATTGCTAATAAACTTGCTGTGCTTTCACTTTACTCTGTTGGCTTGCTCTCAGATTCTTTCTTGCATGAAACTGGGAACCCTCCTGGGCTGAGTCCCAATTTTGGGATTTGCCTGCATCATTTTGGCACTGTATTTTAACTTTTTGTCATCTGTGTGTTGTATTTGAAGATCTGGACCAGCCAGTACCTCATGGTAAGACCTTACTGAGTTCTGATGCCTTGTTAGGTGGAAGCCACTACATTTTTAACTTTGCAGAGAAATTTATGAGTTTATTAAACCATCTTATAAAATAACAAGAGTGTTATATATAAATCAGGGTACTGGTGTGTTAATAATCGGGGTATCAGTTGAGGACATTCTTGTTGCTAAATCAGAGCGCACAGGAGCCTATAACTAGACAGGGTCTCCTATACAGCACACCTCTTAGTAACTTAATCACATCTAGCAGACACATCTAGAGTATATGGCAGGGCTTCTGATAACTATTTTTTTTTTTTTAATATCACTGTAAACCGCACAATGTAGAGACCATAACTTGGTCTAGTGACAGAGACTTGAGGAATAGCCTAGTCTTCATTCAGAATACATTTAAAAATCAGTGTTTAGGGTGGCTCACATTGATAACCAGCTTTAAACCAGTTTAACCACTTAAGATAGCCTATCCTTGCCCTCATTTCTAAATCCCAGTTACCTGCTACCATATTTGTTTTATTACAGCATTTGAAAGAAAGAATGTAACAGAGTACTGCAGAGATCTAATCAAGATCCTGAAGCAGGCAGAGGAACTGAATGAAAAACTCACTCCATTGAAACTGATTGATTCTTGGATGGGAAAGGGTGCAGCAAAACTGAGAGTAGCAGGTGTTGTGGCTCCCACACTTCCTCGTGAAGACCTGGAGAAGATTATTGCACACTTTCTAATACAGCAGTATCTTAAGTATATACAAACCCATTCATTATCCTTTCAGGTTGTCTTTATGGTTTTTCTTTTTAATTGCAACAGAATACACGGTTTTGCAGTTATTCTGTGTGAACTTTTAAATGCTATAGAAATTTACCTAAAACACTCAAACTTTAATCACTATAAATCAAAAAATGTAACAAAAATATTTTCTTTAAAGGCTTTATTTGCATTCTTGTTTTATTATTTCAAGTCAATGTGTTAAAAATTATTGCAGTTATTTCTTTTATAAATTTGTTTTCTGTGATTCCTTCAAAAACTTTCTTATTGTTGGCCTTTATTTTATGCAGAGAAGACTACAGTTTTACAGCTTATGCTACCATTTCATATTTGAAAATAGGACCTAAAGCTAATCTTCTGAACAATGACGCACATGCTATTACTATGCAAGTGACAAAGTCCACGCAGAACTCTTTCAGGGTAACTGGCTATTAATTTTCAGTTTTATATATTTAAAGTATATTATATTTTATATATTTTAAAAGTATATTAAAGCCTATGGGATGCTTTTCTGTCATATTTCCTAGGCCCAGTTTTCTGATTAGATTTCTGGGTATGGAAGAGAGAAAACATACTTTTCTGTAAAGATATAAGTGAAAGAATTTAGACTGGCCTTTTAACATAAACTAGGGGTTTC